TCCACTTCATGCCTGTTTTCTGTGTGGTATTATACGGGCGAGCCGGCCTATTCGTGCTAAGATGTTAAAGCGGGCTCTACCACTGTTGAAATGAAATAAAACAACCGTTTCGTGAAGTTTAGAGTTTACCATAACTGGTAATGAAGTGAAGGATTTACAACTTGAAATGTAGTAATAAAAGTTGACCGAAATTCGAAGGGGCATAAAATATGGGAATCATTGAAAGACTAAGGGCAAGATTGACAAATTTATGAACATTTAGTATTGCATTTCATTGATTGTTCACTTAATGTACGGGGTGATAGCTTTACGGGCGTCACGTGTTTAGAATCGAAGGCGACTGTTACCTGTCCAATAAACATTTCTGGATTTGAACTTGATAGCAGTTAGATAAGTCCTATGTACCAATTATCACACCATGCTCCTAAATCATGAGTTCAGATTGAAATCACAAGGAGTGATTTTACTTGAATATTGACGATAAATTTTATGTTCTTTAAATGTATCCTAATTCAGGTATTTAAAAGATTAAAAGGGGAAAGAGCAAAGGATCTGAAAAAAGTTGTAGCGATAACCGGAGATATTGCTGAAGAAAATTTGGGAATTCAAGAGGAAGATGAAAAGATACTAGTGGAAAAGGTAAAGGAAACTTAAAATTACTAACTACTAGGTAGTAGATACTAGATAATAGATGAAGGTATCATCCGTATGAAAATGGTAATGTTTAGTGTAGGAATACTATCATAAATGCGAAAGTTTAGAGTGATGGAGGAATGGATGGATGTTTGTTAGAGTTTTTAGCCTAAATTGCTGTACGGATTTCGATGAAATTTGGTATAGATGTAGAGGATAATCTGGAAGAACACATAGGCTACTCACTTTTTTATTTTTTTTTATTTTACACGAACGGTGGTGAGGGGGGAGGGGAAACTTGTAAATACTAAATAAATCAACACTATTAAGAGACTGGTAGGATATAAAATATTGGCTATTTAGTAACATATTACCGATATTTTTAGGTGGACATTGTCATTCATGCAGCTGCTACGATAAGATTCACAGAACCATTACGAATAGCAATGAATTTGAACTTCGAAGGAACAAAACGTGTTCTTAACTTGAGCAGGAAATTAAAAAAATTGCAGGTATGGTTTACTAAACCGATGTGAATATAAAGCTAGTTATTAAGATTAATTTAGCATGTTTTGTCTAGACATTGGTATACATATCAACCGCATACTCTAACTCGAATCGTCAATACATAGAAGAAATAATTTACCCGCCACCGGCTTCATACAAACACGTGTATGAAATAATAGAGAAGTACGGAGATGATGCTGAACAGACTAACAAGTTA